AAAAACAAAAAAAAACAAAAAAACAATCAAGAAACACATTTCTGGGATCCTCTAGGCTTGGGGGATTCCAGGTGTCCACCAGTTACTCTTGAAAGCAGTCTCACATTCCTAATTTCAAATTCCTTTTACAAGCTGGGTCCTCAGAGCTCCAGTTTCTACAATGTGCAAAGACTAAGGAACAGGAAAAAACGTTTCCAGCAGAGTCGAGATTAGAGAGACAGTCTGGTTTCTAAGACAACCTTCCACTGAGTCTCTCAGGATGTCATAGGGTAAGAAGAAGTAATGAAGAAGACCAGGGGAATCAAGTGAGCCTCCTTTCAGGAGTCTAAAAAGACAAGCCTTTCTGTTAGAAGGCAGATAACGGTATCAGAAACAGAAGCTATGCACTTTGGGAACCAATGCCTGTCTGAATTATGAGTGTAAGTGGCATGTAATTTCAATAGAAACTGGAATTTGAACTAAATGTGCTGTAAACACAGGCAGGGGACAGTTGAAACATCTGGTCTCACTGGGGTCTTACACTGATTACCAGACATTTTCTGCAGTCAACTCACCAACAATTAAGCTCTTCTGCTCTGTGTCATGTGGTTGTGTCCTATTTAGCTTAAGAGTTGTTAATAATCAGGTGGTTAAATGCAATAATCAGGATTTGAGGGGTGACACGTGGGGAAGAAAGACTGCCAAGCAGTCTTAGGACACAGTCTGCTCAAACCACAATTTATAAAAACCCTAAAAAGGGTCTTGAACTGAAAATTCAAAAAAGGTACAATAATAATCTAAAAGCAGAACTGCTGACCAACAGTTATTACTTAAGATATTCGATGAATATATTATCTTAATGAAAAAAGTTTATTACTCTGGGTTCACAACAGAGTTGGAGAATAGAACACAAAGGCATTTGCAATTGGTAAAAATAATATTTGATTCAGTAAGTTACAATCATAACCATTCTCTTTGAGGAAGACCTTTAGGTCTCTTTAGATAGTCTAAATTCTGCAAATGCATCATGCCAAACTATTAAACCACATACTTAGATTTCACTGCATTAATCCCTTGTAGAAATGCTTTTACTATAATGTTTTCCTATTACCAGCCTACCTACCATATGTTTCAAAAGTCAGCTGAAATTCAGTGTTGTGCCTCTTGTAAGCATGCTGTTAAGAACTTTGTACACAACACCATGCTTCCTTTATAAAGACTATGAGGAACTCTCTCTTTTTCTACTAACTAGGAGGAGAAGCTGAGGTTTTTCTAAGACACAAATCTGCTATTGTGTGACTTTCGTCACGTGATTGTGAAATTGCTCTGGCTGTTGGGAGGCTGGAGACAAGTTTGCAGCTCATCACTAGCAAACATGTGATTGTGAGGGGGTTATTATATCCTAAATCACAACCTTAGTTTTATTATTATTTTTCTTTTTTATTGTCCTTTATCCTTGTGCATGCACTTTTAAATTTTTTTCATAATTATTTATTTTATTTATTATTATTACTCTTCAGTTTGACCAGGGAGAGACAGACAGAGAGAGAAAGCAAGCTGCTAAGTCCAAGACTCCAATTTGCAGTCAGCCATGTGGGAGTCCAGCACCTTAACCACGATGCTACCTGCCAGCCTCTGTGTATGCCTTTTAATAGTTACTTCAACATGCTGGTTTTTTGCCATCTGATTGACAAACAGACAGAATAATATACCCCTTCCATTTATGAAAGCCATCACGGCCTAGTATTGTTTACCGGCTTTTTAGTCTATTCAGCATCTCCATGTACTCATGGGACAAACTGCTAGCTATTTAAAAAACAAAGATACTTTGTTCTAGGCCATGATGACTCTTTGTTTTCATGGGAAATAGCACATGCAGAAAAACAAAACAGAACAAAAACAGGGTTGGACAGGCATCTCCTTCAGTATGGAAACATAACACATAGTGGGTATAGGGGCACAGACTCTGGAGTTGGACTTGACTGGTTCTAACCCTGAACCTGCCACACACCACCTGTATGAATTCTCCTCATCTGAAAAATGGGCAAAGAAAATATTCCAGAACACTGTCATAAGGAGTAAAAGAAATAATTTATTAAAGTGTTTAGAACACTTTCTGGCATATAATAAATACTCAACAAATATCAACAATTTGTTATTGAATGAAGTGAATTCAATCACCTCAAGAGTCTTCAGAGAAGAGGAGGCCTTAAGATCAATGAAAGGTAGAATAATGAAAAATCAAGGGTACAGGCAGTAATGAATTGCTCTCATCGAAGGTGTAATTATAAAGTAACCAGACTGACTTAACCTCTCTATGCTCAACTTCTCATTTGTTCAAAAGTATCATAAATCTCAAGGTTACAGACCCACTGTGAGTGATGTACAAGGCCTAAGGATGAAGTCTAGCATGTAGTATTACTAAACACTTACTACTTTAACTTCCTATGTAGAGTTAACTTTCTTCGTGACCAGAAGAAATACATTCATTGGGCCAGCAGGTAGTGTGGTGGTGAAGGTGTTGACTTCCACATGGCCAATGGTAGTTTGAGTCCTGGATCTGGTGGCCTAGAAATCAGACCACGTATGTGTATACATGCCCAAAATCCCAACAGGAGAATGGAGGAGAAGGGACTGCAGTGTGGCCATCCCTTCTGAGGGGTGATCTCTGACTTTTCCTCTTTCTGTCTCTCTCTGTTTCTCTTCAGCGAGCACAAGCACCATGGAAAAAACCTAAAATAAAGAAGAATTACATTCCTAACCTCTAAAATAATCCATTTAAAGCTGTAGAAGAATAGAAAATATGGCAAATAGAAATTGGCCATTGACTAAATTATTTTGATCTGTTTATGGGCGATTTGTGACTTTGATCTATTTGGAATTGGATAGAGAAAAGATAGCACTGTCAGGAAATCCTGCTATCTCGATCAACAGGACAGGTGTTCTCAAACTGTACCCTCTCACCTCCCCCCTCAGCGAACCGCGTTGCTGGGGCCAGGCCAGAAAGCAGAGCAGAGGGGACCCTGGAGCCGAGTAAGGACCAGGCAGCCACTGCTGCATCGGCCAAGCTGCCACCTGCACTTAGTGTCCTAGTGGAATGCAAGTAGACAGCCACCCCGTCTGTCTCCTCTCTGCCCTATCCCACGCCGGTCACCACACTTCTCTTTTTTTTTTTTTTTGGAGAGATTTTCACTGTAGGGCGCGTGTGCTCGCCAGACAGACAGAGAGAGACATAGAGACAGAAAGCGAGAAATCACCCCAAAGGGGGGATGGTCACGCCGCAATCCCTTCTCCTCCATTCTCCTCTCGGGATCTTGGGCATGCATGCACACGCGCCCGGCGTGAGTTTTAAGTCACCGGGTCCGGGACACGAACCACAGTCGACTACATGGGAGTCCAGCGACATAGCCATTACGCTAACTGCTGGTTCCCACCGCACTTCTCTTATACCATCTTTGCCTGACTCTCTCCAGCGTCTCCATTGAATGGCTAATGTGTATGTGAAATAAAGAAATAAAGAAAAAACAAAAGAAAAAAAAAAAGTAGCCTTTCTCAGAATGAATACTAGAGTAAGGCCAGAGACCATGGACCAACCAGGTGAGCAGAGTAAGCCACTTAGTTCTTAGGAGATACATCAGCACAATAAAACTGCTGGTCCGAGTAACCGCTACGCATTCTTTTCCTTCTACATCTTATCCAATAAAGACCCCCTGATGATAGAACAGGTGACTGTATTACACTGTCAGGCCAGCTCTTAGCAGGGCACATGGTTTGGTTTTTGACTAACCTGTGACTTTACCTTTCAGAGTTATGCTAAGAACGCAGTGATTTCCTTTTCTGTCTGGTTGCTGTGCTTGGACGAGTCCATTAGTGACATGAGATAGCAGTTTCTGCTTGGAAACTCTAAACACATGAGATGACTTCATATTTTCTGGGGCTGACTTATTTTTGACTCTAGAGAGAAAGCACCTGCCTTCTGTACCCTGGTGTCTCAACAATGTGGTTAGGGTTTGGAGTCATCCAGATTGGATTACTCTGGCCATTGGCAGAGATATTTTATTTACAACCTTCGATGTCCCCTTTCCTAGTCTGCTCTTAAATTTGACATCACTGGCCTGAATGACCCACTGACTACCCAGGAAGACATTTAGTTCTATAATTAAAGATTCTGACAGCCCAGAACAGGGTAGTGTATAGATAGCACCTTTGCTTGGGAGGCCGGAGGTCACATGGGAGGCATAGGTTCAGTCCTTGAGCCAATCTGAACATGCTAGGCATGGGTGTGTGCATCTATAACCCTAGCAAATTGGGACACTGGCACAGGAAGATCATGGCGAGACACTGTTGAAAATAATCATCTCTGTCTCTCTTTTTCTCTGTCTTCATCTCTCCTATAAAAAAGGAGAGGGGAGGGACCAGCAGTTAGCATAATGGCTATGTTGCTAGACTCCCATGTAGTTGACTGAGGTTCAAGTCCTGGACCCAGTGGCTTAAACCCACGCCGGGTGTGTGTGTGTGCGTGCCCAAGATCCAAAGAGGAGAAGGGATTGTGGTGTGACCATCCCCCCAGGGGGTGATTTCTCACTTTCTGTCTCTCTATCTTTCTGGTGAGTGCACACGCCCTATAGCAAAAACGTCTCAAAAAAAAAAAAAAAGGAGAGGGGAGATGATGCTTACAACTGCCTAGGGAGGAGGAACGTAGAGAATAATGAAATGACACTAGTAAAGAGAGAAGGCAGAATAAAAGACGAAAACAAATCTTAACTATCATTCTAAAGAGAAACACACTGTGAAATAATAGAAAAGACCATCATGGTGAACGAACAGAGGGGAAGAGAAAGAGTTCTTTATGAAAGAGGATGGAATGTTTAAAGTTGGGGAAACAGATCTGAAAGAGTGCCAAGCTCGCCCGCTGTTGTGTACTCCTCAGCAGGTAAGCTTCTTAAGTACTAAGTAGTAAAAGGTGTTTCCATAATATAACCTTATTTGTGAAAAACAGGTTTCAGTTTTATTTTACATACCCTGGAATTATCTACATTGCACATTGATTTAATTGCAGGTAAATTCCATAATGTCTCCCCTCCAGCTGAAGTAAATACTACTCTGGAATATCGGTCACCTGGTGATATAAAAAAAAAAAAAAAAAGAAAAGGATTTATAAATTATTCATTTACTTTGTAAAACTCAACATTTAGAAACAATGCAAATTGGTTAACACATGGACAATTCATTAGCAGCAGGAAATTCTTTTCTTTCATAAATTTCAAGAGAAAATGCTAAAAACCAAACAAAACCCTAGAAAAGTAGTGCTATAATACTGCCTCAACACGGTCTTTGTCTCACTCACTGTATCTCCAAATTGTAGAAATTACGTAACAAATCTACTTCTGACGAGGCTATCATTAGCAAGAAAAATCCACACGAACTTTTACCATGAAATTAATGAAATGCATCCTTTCTAATTTCACGACACATCTACCATAATAGCATAGAAAATCCAAGAACGATGCATTAGAGCCTATCAAGCATGGATTCTAAGGATATTTTCTCTCACAGCTAACTACAGAGGAATGATGGTGGGCAATCAATTTAAAAACACAAAAATAGGGGTCAGCAGATGAAGTGGTGGTTAAGGCACTGGATCCCACATGGCCGACTGTACAGTTTGAGTCCCCAAACCAGCAGTTGAGAGAATGCCCGTGTACCCAAAATCCTGAAAGAAGAATGGAAGAGAAGGGACTGCAGCATAGCCATGCCCCTGGAAGGTGATGTCTCACTTTCCCCCTCTCTGTCTCTCTCCTGTGAGTGCACGGGTTGTATAGCAAGCAAGCAAGCAAGCAAGAAATAAATAAATAAATGCACTAAAAATAGCCAACTAAGTACAGAATGCTGGCCATATTCATGTAAAGTACGTGGTCTTTCTGGTACACCAGGGTATAGAAAAACTATTTTGAAAATCAAGTTAATATAAAATGTGTTTTCCCCCCCAAGAATTATTTTATTAAATTTTATTCATTGTCATTATTATTATTATTATTATTATTTTTTTTTTTTTTTTGAAGTTGACCAGAGAGAGAAAGAGAGAGAAGGAAAGTGAGAAAGCAAGCTGCCAGGTCTAGGACTCGAACCACGGTCAACCATGTGGGAGTCCAGCCACCCCAACCACCATGCTACCTGCTGGCCCCAATATAAACTGTGTTTCTGAATAAGGGAGGCTGTGTGAGATAGCAGACTGTGAAGCAGCATGGTCTTTAGAGTAAGATCTGGGTATAACCAAGTCCTGTCATTCACAAGTTGTGTGATCTTAGGCAACTTATCAGTTCATCACTTTTCTTCTTTTTGTTTTTTGGAGAGGTTTTTGCTATAGGGCACATGCACTCGCCAGAGAGACAGAAAGCAAGAAATCACTCCCCAGTGAGGATGGCCACGCCTCCATCCCTTCTCCTCTCAGGATCTTGGGCATGCACGCACATGTGCCTGGTGTGAGTTTAAGTCACCGGGTCCGGGCCTCGAACTTCAGCCAGCTACATGGGAGTCCAGCGACATAGCCATTACGCTAACTGCTGGTCCCTCAGTTTATCACTTTTCTGAGCCTTGTTTTCTCAACTGTAAAATGGAGACAGCAACATCTATCTCAGATAGTTGTGAGAATTAAACAAGATCATGAAAAATAGGTGCTCAATGTATATTGTTCCTGTCTCCTCAGTCATTAAAAAATAGGAACCAAATAAGAACTGCAGATTAATGTTGTTACCTAAAATGTCTAACTGTGCTAACAAAGAAAAATCAAGTGGCCAATTTATGAGCAAAGCTTCATTTCAAAAGGCTTTACTCATGATCATTGTTTTCTGTAGTAAATAAACTCTTTTCTTCTTCAAATTACTATTATTTTATGTTGATTGATTTTGCAGAGCAAAATCAGCATTGTGGAAACCGAAACATTTCATTCACATAGAGCCAGTAATAGCTTTAGTCAAGGCAGAACCTATTATTGAGACAAATATGTAGTGTCAACTACTGAAATAATAAGCAAGACCATATTTTATGAATTTGCTAATGTTTTTCCTGGTTAAAATATTAACTAGCAGATGTTCATTAAATAAAAATATATAGTAACACTTTGAGAGAAACTCCTCAGAACATGCAACCAACTGGAGTTCAACTATTCTAATGTTTGGAAACTGGTATTGCTTCCTGGGATCAGCCAGTATAAGATTTTGCCTACAAGTCAGGCCTGGTGGTGCATGTCTATAGTCAAAGCCACTCAGGAGGCAGAGTGATCACTGAGACCCTGTCTCCAATACCAGATGTACACGCAATCACAAACCACCCCCCCCCCCCCCCGCCAAGTGAACAAATAAATAAATACTTGGTAAAACGAGAAAGATCAGAGATCCAGTTAGATTCTATAGTGCTCTGTACACATTTGAGGGGAACTTCAACAACTAAAGAACCTATAACCATAGACCTTTAAGAATAATATTCTCTTAGTTAGACATTGTAATTATCCACAATTCCTTGTTCCTAATCACTATGGCTAGCCATAGTGGGCAAAGTCAAGAATTTTACTGAATTTATACCTTCCTTAAAACTAACTGTAATTTGGCCAAGCCATGGAAGCATGCAGTGGTTGAGGCTCTCTCCTTCTCTTTCTCTTTTTTAAAAAATAATTATTTCATTTTATTTATGATTATTTTTTAATTTGCTATAGGACACATGCACTCACTAGAGAGAGAGAAAGGGAGAGAAGGATAAAGGGAGAGTAAGTGGGAGAGAGATAAAGAGACAGAGAAACAAGCTGCCAGGTCCAGAACTTGAACCATGGTTGGCTATGTAGGAGTCCAGCGCCTTAACTACCACTACAACTGCTAGACCCGAGGTTGTTCTTTGGCAGGCTAAGGCCACAGGAGAGGTCTCCGTCCAAATCCCGGCCCACCTAAAAAGCCAGGTGGTAGGGTGCACCTGTAGTCCCGGCTATTCAGGAGGCTTATCCAGCTTTCCCAGCTAGGCAGGGAAGTCAAAATATAGCGAGACCCTGTCTAAACAAACAAACAAACTAACAAACAAAAAACTATATAACAAAACAGTCTTTCAAAAAACTGACCCAATCATCACCATTACATTTTTATTATAGATAAATATTTCAGACTAGTGGCTGACTAATCTGAGGAACTGAAATTAAAGTTAATTAGTTGAAATCTCTTTAAGTACAATAAGAACAGTGAAGCTGTATGGCGATTGTGATCACGCTCAATCCTGAATGCTAGGAAACCTATGGGGTTTATTCATCTGCCATGCTACTTACTTGGAACATCGCAGAAAAAGCTGTCTTTGTGGAAGTTCCAGTCAACTTCTCTTTTCTCTCTTTCATAATGATCATCTGACCATCTATCATCCCGGTGGCTGAAACAGAACAATAATTTGATTTTCAAAAAAGTTCTAGCCATTTGAAGGCCGATAAGCATATTAGTAGCATTTCCTCAAGGCCATGTCCTATTTAACATTTGAGTTTCAGTTAAGAGGATTAGTATAAGGAATCAACATTAATTTTCTCACATTTGAAAGAGAAAAACAACTTACCTTTTCATATTACTACAACTACATTTTAAAGACAATGACAAGTTAATGAGTCCAGCAGCAAAAGATTTTAAGCCACACATTTTACGTTTATTCTTTTTGCTCAGGCAATATTTAACGAGGGCTTCAACAAATGTTTTGTTTAAATGTGAAATAAAAATAAATGGTTACCTTTTGGCTTGTTCATCTGCATATTTGAAAGGATAATTTGCTAATGTTGCTTTGTAGCCTGTATTTTTCACCATGTTATTCCACGTGACCAGTCTCTGGCCTATTGCAGTCCCTCTTGGTTCAAAACCCTAAGGCAAAATATTACAAGTTCCCATTAGTGTATTTCATTTCAGCCTAAGTACAGTAATAATAAAAGCTTGAGAAAGCAATGTCAAAGTGATGTATGGCTTTCGACAGAAAATGTAGATGTTCCTCACAGCTACTCCAGAAATGAACTGCATTAAAACAAAATGACTTGACATGGTAATGATCACCTATTTACTGTGACAAAACAGTTGGATTGTTTGGTATGTTATATGTCTCAGCAACGAGGAAAAAGGCTTACCAGAAGCTTATCTTTATAACTCATGCCTAAGAATTTAATAAATACTTATTTATATATTTTTAAAAGAGAGATGTTTGCTATAGGGTGCATGCATTCACCAGAGAGACAGAGACAGAGAGACAGAAAACGAAAAATCACCCCCAAGCGGGATGGCCATGCTACAGTCCCCTCTCCATTCTCCTCTCACACGTACATGCCCAGCCTGAGTTTTAAGCTGCTGGGTCTGGGACTCGAACCATGGTCTACTACATGGGTGTCTAGTGATGTGACTATTATGCCACCTGCTGGTCCTAAACACTTATTTTTATTGTAAAAAATTGTGGTTAAATTAGGTTATGCGGTACATTATTAGTGTTTTACAAGGGTATATATATCCTTGATCATATTTTCCTCGTTATTTTCCTCTAGAGGACCATTTACTTAAAAACAGTCCCTGCACTCTGTTAGTAATTCTGAAAAATCCTTTCATTTCTTTGGGGGAGTAAAAAACACACACTCAGTCTTAAAGATTTTATGAAAATATTTTTATGGCATGCAAATTCTCCAGATGTATTGCTTTTTAGCTTAAACATGGGGATCAAGAAGCACAATTTCCAGATGTTTGAGGGTGCACGAGTTCCTTGACCTTTTAAGAACCCGAGAGCATCGATAAAAACATGTCTTTATTTTCCAATTGTACATTTACTGATGGCTTGAGAAGGTTTAAAAATAAATGGGATACTAAATAACATAATGCTCCATGTATTAAAATACTTAACTTTGGAGATGACTTTATAAAGAAACAGATCAACTGTCCTGGCTCACTTCTTACCAGCAATGGGTCGGAGAAGTCAGGAAGCTCTGGCACTAACACTCCAACCAAGGCACAGACCACAATGAACACAGTGCACATCCCCAGGACCACAACCGGCCAGTCGGCGATCAGGGCTGCATAACTACAAAGGCACAAAGAAATCACAAAGAAGGCCGTTAGAAGCAACGCAGCATTTACGGCTACAGTAATTTGTAAAATCCTATTTTAGACTTAGTACAGGTATTTATCAAAAGAAGATTTCATGGGTTCTTAAGTATTCCTATGTAACTGTAGTAGAAAATTACAAGATCATTGTAGTTTTTTTGTGTTAAGGCAACAATAGTCTTACCCTACAAGCTGTTGAGAATCAGAACAATGTCTACATATGACAAGTAACATTTTATATCTATATTTGAGCCTAGGGAAGAGAAAATCTAAAAATCCACATTTTGTGAGTAGAAAAAAAAAAAAAAAAAAAAAAAGAACAGGATCCATCCTCCTTTTAGCCTTTCCAGAGCTTTTGTTTCCTTTCTCCCTATCTGCACTCTATCAGTTCTTAGAACTGTCTGTAAACAGGTTCATGTGGTATAAATCTTTTCATTTATTTATTTTATTAAGGTTTTTGTCATAGGGTATGTGTGCTTACCAGAGAGAGAGATTGTGTGGGAGGGGAAGTGAGAAATCACTCCCTAAAAGGAATGGCCATACTGCCATTCCTTCTCCATTCTCCTCCTGGGATTCTGGGCCCACACGTAGGCCGGTGCGATTCTCAAACCACCAGGTCTGGTCGTATAACCATAGTCAGTCAAGCAGTAGTCTAGAACCTGAACCACCACACCACCTGCTGGCTCTGTGTAGAATAAATCTTAAAAATAGCAAACCAAACCTTCCCATAAACCTGTAACTTTCCTTCTAGTTAAAACCATAATGAACATAGCTTCTAGACTGAGTCCCTTGAGGATAGAAATCTTCTGTACTTTATTTAGAGCGGTACCAATACAAAGAACAGTACCTTTCAGAAGGTGCTCGAACTGACTAAAAGCACAGGTACCTGGGTGTCTTCCACTCTTGCACCCTCTAGCCACCATGATCTGGCTTTAGCCTCTTCCTTGGAAACGCCTCCATTACCAAATCCTGTCATCAGACCCTTTCTGCCCTTTCCACATCTTCATTTACCTCCTTTGATTAAAAGGTCAGTTTCTGGATCCCTCCCATAAGGTCCTGGACCATGTGTTATTGATCTTGACACTTCCAGGTTTTGATAAGAACTGAGTGCTCAACAGAGGTTGATATACTTAACTTTTTCCCTGAAGTTCAAAATGTATTTTGTAAACCTCAAGTTTCCTGAATTGTTATTAGAAGAATTAAAAGAAGAAAAACCAAAACATTCAGCTACCATCAAATTCTCGGGACCAGCAGTTAGCGTAATGGCTATGTCGCTGGACTCCCACGTAGTCAACCTCAGTTCGTGTCCTGGACCTGGTGGCTTAAAACTCACGCCGGGCACATGTGCGTGTATGCCCAAGATTCCGAGAGGAGAACGGAGGAGAAGGGATTGCGGCGTGGCCACCCCCTACCCTGGGGGTGATTTCTCACTTTCTGTCTCTGTCTGGTGAGCGCACGCGCCCTATAGCAAAAACCTCTCCAAAAAAAAAAGAGAAATTCTCAACAGTGAAGCTCACTTGGCTCTTGCAATGGCTATTGCTGACTCATTTGAAATAGGCTTTGTACCATGTACTTGTGAGTTTTTTCTTCAAAAGCATGCTAACTAAATTTACAAATAAAAATGATGGCTCAAAATGTCATTCTGGAAAACATACATGTCTCCAAGAATAGTTTGCTGGGTTTTATATTCTGATCTCTTAACTTCATAGACTGGCTTTGTGGGGATATTGACTTTAAATTGCAATTCTAATAAGGAAATTAAACTATAACACAGTTATGCATCAAGGGGGCACTTGGACAGACATTTTTCATTGCTATTCTTTCTTTCCCCTCTAAATTTGCTGTGAAGCACATGTCCTCACCAGAGGAAGCTAGAGAGAGAGAGAGTGGGAATGCCAGAAAGGAACCCCCAGAGGGTGACTGCACCACAATCTCTTCTTTCCATTCTCTTGGGATTTGGGATATGCATGTACCCATACATGCCTGGCGTGTTTTTCAAGCCACCAGGTCTGGGTTTCAAATCATGGAGTCAGCCGTGCGGGATCTAGCCACCTTAACCTCTATGCCACCTGGCCCTCATTGCTATTCTTCTTTTAAAGTAATCTTATGGGAATAAAAACATAAGTAATAACTGCCTGCATGTATTTAGAGTACCAGTTACTCTTGTGTTTTATACAGCTCATCATCTCATTTAATTCATACAACAACCTATGAGGTGAAACTGAGGCACAGACAGGTTCAAACTCACAAAACTAGGAACCTAGGTAGTCTGGTTCTAGAGTCTGGCCTCTTAAACAATATACTTTCATTTCTCTCTTTAAACATCAATGAAACTAAAGACATTAGGAGTAAATAAACTTGCCACAGATATGTTTCCCAAAATTCACAATTAGAGGTCCCAGCCCTTGGTCCAGTTACGATGGTGCAGGCTGTAGGGAGCACTGCTGCATGGTTCTGGAGACCATATGGGAAGGTTCCAGGTTCACGTCCTGGGTCTATGTCAGAACACCAGTCATGCCAGTGATCTTGGCTACAGGGTTAAGGAGAGGGCTGTGGTGTAAAGATTCTGTCCAGGGTGTGCCTGGCTATCTGTCTTTCTAATATAGAGAAAACAAACAAACAAACTTAAAAAAAAAAAATCTGGCTCCATTAATAGTGCATTTCTCTATGTAAAGTCACAGAAATCCATAGGATTCTATGTCTGAACTTTATTCGGTAAACTATAAATACGGGATTTAAAATCTCATTAAGGAAAAATTACGCTAGATAAGACAAAATAACCTTTAAGAGCAATTCTGAATGTAAAAAAAATATATAAATCACAGCATGTTGACTGTGGTTGTTCAAACGTAAACACCCAGTGGCCAGAAACTTTCACATATCTAGAACACACCCAGTGCAAAAATATTCGCCTCACTTCATTTCCTCCTCCACCAAATGCAAACTAAGATGAAAGTAACTGGTTTTGAATAAAGCCCTTTGTCTCAATAGTATGTTTGAGACTTTGTTCATTGCTTCAGACTTAAAAAGAGTCCTTTACATTTTAAAACTTTAAAATATCAGCCCTGTGAAATGAAAATGGCTCCAGGCTTATACAATTATTCATTACAATTTATTTTAAATGGATCCATTTTCTTTCAAATGAACCAGAAGTTAGGCATTTTTACTTACAAACATGTTATCAATAGAGGGCAGTGGGCCCCAGATTGCTTAGTTCTCATACTGTGGTTTAATTTACCCATATAATGAGTTTTTGTTTTGTGATCTTCAAAAATCTGCACACACATGCATAGCAACCTTAAAAACCCCATTCAATAATTGCTTTTCTTCCCTTTGAAAACATTTGGTTTTGATTGTACAGCTTTGCTATATACCATAGACGTACGCTGACTACATATGGGAACTTTATGACATTAGTGATTTCAGCACATTTCTCCCAAACACGTCTAACCTTACTATATTACAATTCCACTTCCTCACGCAGCAGATGTTTCACATGCTAACCTTTCCTAGGGACAAGTGTTCACACTTAAGAAATGGAATCACCGCTCTGCATATAAAAGCACCAGGCAGGGAAAGCTCAACTATGCTGAGTACATTTTACTCAAAGAAGTGTTTCTCTTAAACACCACGAAATTGCTGAGGATATTTCTGTTCCTTCTGCTCTCTCTGCTAAGATATCGTATCCCTATGGGCACCACATGGGAAACAAAAGTTTGATGGACAATATGAAATCCAGACAATAGTGGTAATATCAAGATAAAAATTTAATGAGGTAGGAAAATTGAAGAAGTAAAGGAAATTAAAAATGGCCTATAAGTCTTGCCACTATGTCATTCCTGGTGAGTCTGGGCTCAAGATACATATTCTAGGTGTACAGAATACAGTACCTATATATTATTTTCTTTGAAAAGTGGGCCACATGTGCATTGCATGAATTTTCAAAAAGACCATTCCTTTCACTGAAACAATTCTTCTGCATATCAAAAATACTTGTCTTGCTCTAATTTTAGAAATCAGCAGACAACATCACCATATAACATTAAGTGAAGCCTTTCCCTATAACATCTGGGTTATGGCAGGTCATCACTTTCCAATGAATGACAGGCGAGTGTTCCTTCAGGCCCTACTGCTATACAGCTGCTAAGGTTTGTGCCCATGGCTCTACCCAGGATACTGCTGTGTGAAAGTTTGCATCATCTTCTCAACAGTTTAAATCTCAAATGGAACACAGATCTAAAGGCCTCATCCCGCTTTTACAGACTGAGAAAACAGAAGTAGCAGAGTAAATAAAACGTGTTTGCAGGTGACCTGTGGACTTGAGTTAGTGGACGAGGTCTGGCATACTGGTCCAGGCTGTTATTGCCAAGCCAGAGCTTTCATTAATATCTACTGAAAAGTCCCTCAACTACCACTATAGATTCTTAGTCACTTTATTACTGGGTCTCTATTCTGGAAATGGATCAGAAATAACTGTTACGACAAATAAACCAGAAATTACGCATTTTTACTTACAAACATGTTATCAATAGAGAGCAGTGGGCTGCAGATTGCTTAGTGTCTCACAGGGCCAACCTATGGACAAGTGACATCAATCGGGGGCCTGTTTCAAATGGGCCATTTATATTACAATAACACCCCCTACAGAAAATTTCCCTCTTTCCCCTCATGCTCTTTGTTTTTTTGGAAACACTCTCTTCTCCAGTGCCCTAAGCATGGTCAACTGTCCCTAGTATGGGTTTCCAGACCTGGCAGCTTGCTTTCTCACTTTCCCTCTCTCTCTCTTTAGTCAGTTAAAAATTAATGATGAGAATAAAATTAAATAAATAAATAATTTTTTTTTAAAAAAGGCAAAACAAACAAATAAAAAAATCTCTCTTCTTTCCCCTATTCCCTCTGAGCAGAGAGCCATGATCCAGGGAGTGGAAGTGCCCTGGACAGGAGGCCTCTTTTCCTGACCAACGATCTACTCCTTAATCCTTGCAGCGTGGCTTTCCCTCTCATGACTCTTCAGAACTGTCAAAAATTATTTAGTCTTGCTTTCTATCTTCCTTGATCTAAACATTTTCAACATTGTTAGCTATCTTTTTCTTCCTAAAAATCCTTTCTCCAGTTGATTCCTTGCTTTCCCTTAATAACACTTCCTTATTATTCCTCCTATCTCTTAAGGGCAAGCATTTGAAAATGTTATTAACCATGGCTTTTCCAGTGACATCATCTATCAATTTATTGGGAAGGATGACTGAAGTCTGAGAAGTTTCACAAAAGAAAATAAAAAAGAGATACAGAACTCCTTTTTTCAAAAAATTTGATGATTTCTTACTTTCATTCACTCATTGCACATCTCTATGGCACACAATATAGTTTTTCAAAGTATGTCTGCAGTACATGACAATCAAATTGAGGAATATTATCATATACATAATTTTCAATAGAGAACTTCACATTCTGTCAAGTGTTTCTTCCCTCCCCCCCGCCACCCTCCCACCATCCATTCCCCTCCTTTATAATCCTTGGTATCTATATTTATTCTCCGTACTATTATATGTTCAGAGCTTTCCATTTCTGCCATAAAGACATTCTGTAGATATTGAGCAGGGATATATAGTGATTGTCTTTTATAGCCTGACTTACTTTATTTAGCATTAAATCTTCTATACTAATCCATTTTGTATCAAATGATAGGGTCTATTGTTCCTTATGGCTGAATAGTATTCCATAGGGTATATGTGCCATAAGTTATCAACTAACAGTCATCTGTTAGTTGGGCACTTAGGTTGATCCTATGTCTTAGTAATACTTGTGATTGTGAATAATGCTACAATAAATATGGATGTGCAAATGTCCTTCCAGCTGAGTGTTTTCCCATCCTTTGGGTAAATACCAAGGAGTGGGATTACTGGATCATATGGTAATTCTATTTGTAGGTTTCTGAGGAATTTGCATATTGTTTTTACAGTGGCTGTATTCATTTACATTCCCACCAATAGTGTACAGTAATTTCTTTTTCACCACAGCCTTGCCAGCACTTGTATTCTTAATTTTTTAAATTTAACTTTATTTATTTACTTTAATTTGACCAGAGAGAGACAGAGAGACGGGGAGGGGGAGTGAGAAAGCAAGCCACCAGGTTTGGGACTTGAACCACAGTCAATCATGTGGGAGTCCAGTGCCCTTAACTGGCCCCTATATTCTTTATTTTTTTGATCATAGTCATTCTGACTGAAGTTAAGCAGGGTCTTATTGTGGTTGTAATCTGCATTTCCCTTATGAAAAGAGATATTGAACATTACAAGCATATCCATTTTAGGTATTCATATGTTTTTCTTAGAGAGCTGTCTGTTTAGTTCATTTACCCTTTTCATGTTGTTGCTATAGGGCACATGTACTGTGTACTTGTCAGACAGAGACAGCAAGAGAAGAAAGTGAGAAAACATCCCTTGGAGGGATGCAGTCCCTTCTCCTCCATTCTCCTCCTGGGATTTTGGGCTTGCAAGCACATGTACCCAGCATGTTTTTCAACACATTGGGTCCAAGACTCAAATTGTTCAGTTGACTATGTGGGATCCAGCTGCTTTAACCACAACACCAACAAGTAGCCCTGCTTAGCCCATTTTAAAAATTAAACTATTTTGTTCTGTTTTGCTTTTTGGGGGGTATATAAACTGCTTGAGTTCCCTATATATTCTGATATCAATTCCTTATCTGAAACATAGTTTGCAAATATTTTTTCCCATTCTGGGGGTGGTCTCTTTACCCTAGTTGTTGTTTCCTTTGCTGTGCAGAAGCTTTTTGGTTTAATGTAATCCCACTTGCCTAGTTTTGGAATTACTGCCTGTATTTACTTTCTTATGAAGTAATATATTCATTCAACAACTAGCATTAAATCACAAGGATAAAAGGCATTCTAGGAACACAAAAATGGCATACCAGAATCTTGCCCTCAAGGAACTTACAGCCTGATATGGCAAATCAGATAGGTATACAAATGTCTACAAAACTAGTTAGAAGATATGTATCTTTAACGGGTATAGATATAATGTTTTGTAAATTCAGTGAAGAAAGAGATTATTTCCTGCTCTGGTGAGAAAGAAGAATCAGAAAAGGCTGTTTTGAAGAGGTTGTATTTATGTATATAGACTGAAAAGAAAAAAAATCAGGATTTTAAAAATACCAATCTAATAGCAGAGAAAAACCCAAATCTTTTCAAATGCAAATAGTTCTTAAAAAAGGATAAATTAATTTTCTTATTAGGCCTTACTTACTTACATACTCTCCTCTTTATCTTTTTTAACTTTGTTTTCTCTCCCAAATCAAAGGGGAACTGGGTAAACAAACGTGGTACTTACATACAATGAACTATTACTCAGCCTTAAGAAGGAAGGGAATTTAACACATGCTACAAAGCAAGCGGATGAACATTGAAGACCTTTTGTTATGCGAAATAAGCCAGTCACAAAAGGACAAATACTGGATGATTCCACTTATATGAGCGACTTGGAGTAGTCACATTCACAGGGACACAAAGTAGAATGGTGATTGCCAGGGGCTAGGGAAAGGAAGCAACGTGGAGTTACTATTTAATGGGTACAGAGTGTCCATCTTTAAGATGAAAAAAATCTCTGGAAATGTGGCAATGGTTGCCCAACAACATGAATGTATATACTGCCAAAGAATTGTACAGAATTAAAATGGCACGTATTTATTTATTCATATGTACATGTGGTATTGCTATGTTGCTCAGGCCAGCACAGAGCTTAGAATTCTCCTGCTTTAGTCTCTCTAGTTACTGGAATTAAAAGCACATGCCACCATGCCTGACTTTGGTGTTTTTATCACAATTTAAAAATATTAATACTTTTTTAAATGCAAGGGGAGTTTACTAATTAAATTTATGTATTAATTTTACTTCAAAGATGTTCAGTCTCTTGAGACAGACTTCAGAGTTATCAGCATCGGAGCTTTTCTCACAACTGAATTTCAAAGCTTGTTTAGAGTTTCTTCAGTGTAATAATATTGTATCTAGAACCATGATATATAAGGACATGTGATTGAGAGAATTGTTTTTTTCAGAAATTTTTATCTATTTAAAATTTTCTCTACTGACAAGATAAACCTCAAAAATTTCTACATAAAAGAATACCTCCTTTACCATCTTAATATGGTAAAAAAATTTTTTTAGAAAGAAAGACAGGTAACCTATGTGAAATAAACTGCTATGAATTCAAGTCATGGTAGCTGACAGAACAGCAGTCTTCTTAGCAATTCCATTGGAGGAAGGAATGCAAAAATAATTAGATAAATGATTATGATTATATGATTAGAGAAACAGAAATCAAGAACTTAAAATCTACTTTGAGAGTAAAACTACTTTTGGTGATATGGATTTCCTCAAGTAGCCAACGCAACAGAAAATTTATTTTTCCTCAAGAATAAGTGGACAGAATAGTGAAATGTGTGGAAAATATGCAGGTAAGTTTATTATTTAATAAAATAACTCAGATTACTTTACCTTTTTGGTAACTTGAAAGGTCTGGATGGTCTGAAAAGAAAAAAAACAAAGGAGAAATGATCACAAACAAAGCATCACAACATAAAGACTCTACACACGTGTTGGGCATTTTACTTGTTACCTCTCTGATGAAGAATCTTGAAAGAGTTAAAAATAACGATATCGTGGAGAGATTTTAAATACACATGGATTTAACAATGAATGTTGGCCTCCTGCACATCAGGACACAAATGCTTGAGTGGCTGGTCTAGAATACCTGTCCAGATCACTCTCTCCAGATGGAATTATAGTCATACTGGGCAGTATTCTCCAAGACATACAGCTACCAGAGTCACCCATCTCTCTCACAAGAATGCACATCCCTAAGTCTCTGATCTAAACTACATCTTTACTTACTGAGAATCCCCTTGCACTGGAAAGAAGAGAGAGAGGGAGGGGAAGAAACGAAACAAAACAAAAAGAAAAGAAAAGGAAAAAAAGGAAAAGAAAAAAGAAAGAAGACATCAATAGTTTCTGATAAAAATTCATTTTTAGAGATGAACCTCAGTTTGCCTTTGGTCACCCAGGGTGTCTTTGTAGCATAGCCATAAGTCTGAAAATTCAGTTCTCTTGATGCCTAATGTGCTGGTCTCTGTCCTGTGTTTGTAAAATCAACATAGAAAAAAACCCATAAGGGCAATTATAAAGTATGGCTATCTTATACTAGAAATACTCTACTCTCTCTTCAAGACACCAACTATTCTTTTTTTTTCCTTCAATTTCTCTTCACTTTTCTTTTTTTTTTTTAAAGTTTATTTATTTCTTCAATGAGCATGAGTGAGAAAGACAATCAGGGTCACTACCAGCCTTCTGCCAGCCCTAGATCATGGGCAAGCATGGCCTGGTATACTCATGGGAGGTCTTGAACTTGAACTGGGAACCTTTCCATGTGGGACTCTCACAGAATGTCCGTTTTACTGCTGTGCCACTGCCTGTCCCCACACCCACCTTTCCATTTCTTAATATATAACTCCACAATCCATTTGCCAAGTATAGACTTGTATTTCCAACCAGCTCTTCCTCATATTATGTTGTTAGTCTCTGACTGTATGTACCTGTTCCCCTGATATGAAATATACGCTTGCTAAAGGAACTAAAAACTTGGCCTTATACTCCAAGCTCCATTTCTACCAGATTCATTAAATTCTTCTTCTTCACTGGCACATGGTAAGCACTTAATAAATACTTGGTGAACAGAATCCAGAATCCACTATTGACATTTCACTCATCCTAAGTAGGGTGGTTCTCACAGTATGTTTGAAGACCTCTGGGTCTTACTTCCTTTTCTAATTATGCATCTGTGTAAGGCCAGATTTTCTGTATATACTTCACATATTTCAACTAAATGGCATATTGCAATAGATTGACTACAGAAGCAAATAGGAGAATCGTGTCATCTTCAAATGAGCCAAAAATCAAGTAAATTTTTAAAAATGTGAAACAATGATACCCATCTCACTAAATGTTTTTGTTTTGAAAATATAATTATTTTTCATAATACTATTTATGTTGACATGTAATGGGCTTTAAAAAATGAGTTAAATATTTTAAAATTTGTTTCAATGCCAACATGGCATATATTAGCTAAATCCACACAAACAAAAGCTCTTTGGAGGGTCTCAGTAATTTTTGAAAATGTAAAGGGGTTGTGAGACCAAAGTGTTTGATTAATACATTACATTAATATACAGAACATATGTAAATATTTGCTGACTGAATAAACAGACTCCTTCCCCTAACTTAGAATATTCTACCAGAAAGAACCATACTTAGAGCAAAACAAAATGCAAAAATTTGTCCTCCAATCTTTCTCCTTAAAGTTGTTTCTCTTTGAGTAGTTGGACCCCCTATCTTGGAATTTCTTGAAGACGAAGAAAACAATAGAACAGAATTTCTAAAGTTCTCATTCTTATTTCCCCCCTCCGTTTACATTTCTCACTAAGATACATCTATTAATTCTTTAAAAATATTTATCTAACTCCCAGCTAGCCATGAATGAGATAAGAGTTAAATTCTAGAATGCACTTTATATTACTCTGCTTATGCAAAAGATGTATGTGTTCTCAATTTCATGCTTTATTTACATGTCCTCATTATAATCTCTACACCCATTAAAAACATTAAAATCAAGGGGCATGGTGGTTAAAGCGCTAGACTCCCACATGGCCGACTGAGGTTTGAGTCTCAGATCTGGAGGTCTGAAAATCATGCTAGGTGTGTGTACATGAGTGACCAAAATCTCGAGAAGAGAACAGAGATGGGAGAAGAGAATAGTGAGGGATGGTTTCTCACTTGCTTTCTCTCTGTCTCTCTCTCTCTCTCTGGCACATGCCCTATGGCTGGCAAACAAACAAACAAACCCACTAAAATCAAGAAGATGAAACAATCTTAGAGACTACAAGCACTAGCAAAAATCTTGAAGAATATATAGTCTACTTCTATTATAGCCCCAGTTTTAGAGATGAGCCTCAGTTTGCCTTTGGTCATTCAGGGTCTTAGTAGCACAGCCAAAAGAGTGAGAATTCAAGTCTCTTGATGCTTAATTTGTTGGTCTCTGTCCTGTGTCTGTAAACCAAGAAAGAAAAACCCATAGGGACCATTATAAATCATGGCCGTCTTATACAGGAAAAGAAGTCTCTTTCCATTTGGGAGCTAGGGAGTGTAAAGTCTGAGTTCCCATTAAGGCCAGCAAAAGAGAACTTGTGAGATTTTTGCTATAGGGCGTGTGTGCTCACCAGAGAGACAGAATGTGAGAAATCACCTCCTAGGGTGGTGGCCACGCTGCAATCCCTTCTGCAGTCTCCTCTCAGGATCTTGGAGGCGCATGCACACGTGCCAGTCGAGTCTGAGACTCGAATCCATTATACCATCTGCTGGGACTGAGAACTTGTTGCTTTACAAACAAGTTTGAGGTTGAATATTCAAAGCATTGCTAAAGAATATTTTAAAAAGCATCCTTTTTAATGTATGTAAAGATCATTCATTTTTTAAATATAATAAAAACACATTAAGTGCATAAAACGAACTATATCTTAATGGGCTTATTTCCCTGTAACTTAGCATAATGTATGGTTCTTTGTGGATGGCAGATTAGTGACTAGTGGACTAATGGATGGGTCTCTTTTACGACATTCTCGTGCTCAACAGATTTGAAATCAATGAATTTTAAAAAGCAAGAAGTGGGGCCAGCAGATGGCATAGTGGTTACATCTCTGGAATCCCACAGGGCTGACCATGATTTGAGCCCTAGAGTCAGTGACTTAGAACTCATGCTGGGCGTGTGTGCATGCATGCCCAAGATCCCAAGTAGAGAATAGAGAAGAGACTGCAGGATGGCCATCACCCCTCATGTGTGTGGGGTGATTTCTCAATTTCCCTCTCTCTTTCTCTACAGTGAGTATACACGCCCTAAGGCAGAAAAAAGATACTTAAAAAAAAAAGGCAAGAAGCTAGGGACATAAATATCAACATAGATAAATTTAGTCTTATTGTTTTGTCTGTTTCTCTCTCACACACACGCTGTAACTAGAGTCCATTCCCTTCTATCAATCCTAAATTACTTTATCACCCTACTAAACTTTGTAAGTTTTTGTTTGTGCCTCTGAATTCTACAGTAGAGGCCTTCTGATTCAATTCTACAGACCGTCTGATGACTAATAAGAAAGGTTAAAGTGAACATTTCTAAAATAGTGCTATTCCTTAAATATCTATTGAAACTTAGACACAAATGTCTACTCAGCTGCTAATCTTTTCTTATATAACCATACCCATGCTGCCTTGTCTGGATTTCTAGTTTTGGAGAACTTAGGATCCTTGTAAGTATCCTGGGAATAGTGACTACAATATATACCTAAATGTAGAGAAAGTCCCCCCTGCCAATCTTTTTGTAGTTGTTTCTCCTATGCCTAAATCAATAGTAAAGTGTTTTTGTAGCAATTCATCTTAATTCTCCCAAAGGTTATAATTTTCCTTTTATAAAAAAACCTTTTTTAGCACCTACATAGAAATAGTTTATTTTAAAAATATACTTGAGGAATCAGCAGTTAGCGTAATGGCTACGTCACTGAACTCCCATGTAGCCGAAAGCGGTTCAAGTCCTGAACCCAGTGGCTTAAACTCATGCCAGGTGCGTGTGTGTGCATGCACAAGATCCCGAGAGAAAAATGGAGAAGGGATTGCGGCATGGCCATCCCCTCTGGGGGGTGATTTCTTGCTTTCTGTTTCTCTGTCTCTCTCTTTCTGGCGAGTGCAAGCACCCAATAGTAAAAACCTCTCAAAAACTATATATATATGTACTTGAATGGTAGAATTACAAAAAAAAAAAAAGTCCTACTGGCACACACAGTAGGTTTGGTAGACACATGTGACATACCAGGAGTAGAAGTGTGTGGAATAGGACAAAGCAACCACCTAACCTAGAGCGCTGGGCCCAGAGGACAGGACCAGGCTGACAACTCCACAGTGCCAGTGAGCTGGAGAAGGGCTTAGACACATGCTTTAACACGGTCTTTCAATTAAAATATTCACTGCTAAAGAAGCCATAAAACACATTCATTTTTGGGTGAATCTACCCTCTCCCCCCAAAAAAAATCCCATAAAAGTCCAAACCCACATTTTCAAATGTAATTACATATTGACTTTTTAATATAACAGTTCTATTAAGATATAATTCATATACCACACAAGTCATGCATGTAAAAGTGAACACTTGAATGGCTTTTAGTACTTTCATGGAGTTGTATAACCATCACCATCACATACATTGATTTTCTTTTAAAAATTATGATTATTTCTGGTTTATATATATTTCCAACATTTTTTTTTTGAGAGATTTTTGCTATAGGACGCGTGCGCTCGCCAGACAGACAGAAAGAGACATTAGAGACAGAAAGCGAGAAATCACCCCCCAGGGGGGATGGTCATGCCGCAATCCCTTCTCCTCCATTCTCCTCTCGGGATCTTGGGCACGCACGCACACACACCCGGGACGC